AACCAGTCACTCTGCTCATCGTCACCTAAAAGAAGGAGTATGAAAAATGGGACCTCACAGAAAAGCTGCTTAAACTCATATACAAATTGAAATAAAAAGCAATTTCACCATATTTAGAAATAACTGGGAAGGATCAATAATCAATAACGACAAAAGAGGAGAACACAGTTTCTAAAAGCTAGCAAGATGTTTGAGAGAAGTGCTTTTATGTTGTTTTTACACCTGCGCTGTTTTTTTCTGTTTAAACTGTACTCTGGTTCATTTCCCCCCTCAGTCCAGTTCACTTGTGCAGGGTAATCGCACTCAGGTACAGATCAAACAACCACACCAAACGCTTTTGGAGGAGGTGGTCTAAGTCTGATTCCAAATGGTGTGTGAATGCAATCTGAGTCAACTACCAGGCGCATGCTGCAAGTCTGAACTAAACATCTTCACATAGCCAGGAGTGCTTTGCATTCTGGGGTGCGGCAGAGTACCATTGTTATTCACAAACAGTACAAACAGTCAGTGCGGGTTAGCAACTAGCTGTAAAATTAATGTAAATTCCCCATGTTGGACACTCAGCCAGAACACAGCACCTTCATCTTCCTGTACTTACTTTTGTTGCTCGCGCTCCAGACAAAATAAGCGGACTAAATGTTCTTACGTGGTTTGTACTGACCCATTTTGGTTCACTTTGAGTTTTTTTTCTGCGTCAATAGAAACCAAACCACAGGAAAAAGCTACAAGTTACAAGTACAAACTCACCAACTGACTTGGACCAGAGTATGCGAGCTATAGGCATGAAAATACCCTAAAATTAGATTGTGTGCACTTCCTACAAAACACAACCCAACACAACCACTGTGTGCAGATGCGGACCCTTACCCTTTCACAAAATCCTCCCTTCTGTGTGCACTTCTATGCAACATGCCAGACAGTTTTTGACACATACCTCAGTACATATCTCAGTACATACCTTGCCTCCCCTCATCATTTGTATAGAGGCCTCCATCACTGCTGTTACTCACACTGCTGGTCTCACTGAGAAAAAAAAAGGGTGGAAAAGGAAATTCAACCAAGTGTTTCTCCACTGCATGACTGTATCACAAATCTACATATTCCATGCATTTGCAAATAACATTAATGCTAATAAATAATACCTTAGACACTTTCTGATAATATATAACACAACAGGCAACCTTAATCTTTCCTCTGCTCTGCAGCCTTGATGAGCTCAGCACAGCTATCCACCTGGTGGCAATTTTTGTTCGAGTCCCCCTTCAGCTCACAAAGGATCTCAAGAGTAGAACAAGGACTACCTCTGCCAGCTGCAGTTCATGATGGAAAAAGGCTGTCTAGCCCCAGGATGAGAGACTCCAGACAGTTCATTACCATCACATACCATAACAATAACCTTACTAGCCCTATAACGAGTAGGGAAACGCTAGATGGTAGTTAGCAAGTTTCCATTTAGATTTTTTTCTTCTTTTTTTCAACAATTTTTCATTCAATAAAATAAGTTCCCAAAACGTTCTAAATGAAAGCAGCCATCAAAGAACATGCATGAGAACTAACTAGTCTGGAACTGGCAACATTTTAGCTTTAAATAGTCATTTTGGTGCTCTATGCACCAAACACATTTCAGACATTTCAAAAACATTAAAAAAAAGATATTAATTTTAGACAACCAGCCCCAAACACTCCCTTGCCTGCAGTACCACAAACTGACACTCAGACTCCATAAAAATCGCACACAGTAGCACATACAGAGGGAGCTACAACATCGGGAATTACGAGGCATAAAAAGAAAGGCAAAACACTAACCACCTGTCACTCATGTCCTCATCCGAACCCTTTTGCTCCTCCAGCTCCATCTTGTCTTTGGACCCGTCTGTTGGAGAACAGACGGGGTCTTCACTCTCCACCACAACCCCTTCATCAGCAGCTTCCACTCCCAACCGGTGTGTCGCCAGTTTCCTCTTTTTTACTCTGTTTTTGTTTCCACTTGGCTCTACCAGTCCACCTCCGCAGAACTCCATGGCACCTCTTCCCTCACTTGCACCCAGTCTATGTGGCTTGCCACCAACACGGGCTTTGGGTACAGGCGGTGGCCCAAGCATAGTGGAGGTGGGAGGTTCTGGATCTATGGGTGGGTCCACAGCCATGCGTTTGACCTTACGTCGTCGCCTAAGGCTTCGAGTCCCCTCTGCTGAGCCCAGGACACCTAGGTCATCCGGCCAGAGCGGCCGTTTACTTCGCCCCATGTCGGCTGTGTAGGGGATTCGCCGTTTGGGGCCAAGTTGTTCATCTGAGTCACTGTTGTCACGGGCATGGCTATTGGCAGCAGAGACTGCTCCTGTACTGGCACGGTAGTCCTGCAACAAATGACACTGTAGTGAATACCAGGCTGTGATGCTGATGCTAAATTAAGACACTTGCATCAACACAAGTATGTCAGCTAAGACAGAAGCAACAGCAGTGGGGCCGGATTTATGAAACACAGACACATTTTTACCCAAATAAAAATGTTTGCTATTGTTCAAAACGCCACACTATTTTAATATGATTTGGATTCTCCCCCCCCCCAGTTACATTTTTCTCCTCTTCTCAAAACAGCTACAGCGAGCCAGATAACTACATCCTCAAATGTAGTAAAACTGGCTCAGCTGGTCTTAGGTAAGACTGTTGACACAGGGTTTCAAACAGATGTGTCTCGCCCACAGTCCCTATTCAATTTACCCCATCTCACCTTATGTTCCTCCACACTGGACTCTGAACCCTCACTGAGGTGGCCCGTCTCCCACGGTGGATGTGGGTTGTCTGAGCGTCGTTTCCTACCCCTCCGCTTCCGAGCCTGTCTCTTTAGCAGACAGCCCACTGCCAGTGCATGGTCACCTCCATCACCAAAACCACCACGGGCAGCTTGCTCTGAGCTCTCCTCCAGCGCTGACACCAGGTCATGGACCAGCTCGTCCATCGTTCGGCGAAAGTGCCTGAGATTAAGCAAAAAGGAGGATAAATACCATTTTATCTCACACCAGGAGTGGACAATCAGATACCTAAAGCACTTACAAACACTAAAGATTTCGCGTGTGCACAAGTATTGGTATAGAGTATAAGAATGTAGCCATTATGTGTAGATTCCTATTGATGGGCAAACCGCAAGGAAACTTAAGAGACGACTCCTGACTAAACAGATGCAAATTGAAATGCTATCACGTCAGCTAGCTGTCGATAAGCCCAACTGACGGTGACAACTTTGGACATGGGAGTAAGCTAGCTGTAAAATATCTGAGACTATAGCCTGGTGATTATTCACATTACATAACGTCCATATCTTCCCAGCAAGCAAAGCTAGGGCTAACACACGATGGGTGCACTGCTGAAAAACAGTATTAACAAATCTCAGGCGATACTATTTAATAGCCCGCGATTGCAAGGTTCTCTAAATCGACGCTTGCTTCAGTTTGCACTTTAAGTTGTTAGCTTCGAGGGCTAACGTTTTCTTGCTACTTAGCCAAGCCCTTCCAAAACAAACCCTGAACTACAGAATTTTAAAGCTGACCAACTGCTGGTACGTAACAGCGTTAACCTGTAATAACACTCACGGCATTAACTTATGCTTAGTTTAAACAAGCGCCGTCAAAAAGTAAACAACAAACACACCCTAAAATATTCAGAAGAGCTTAGCTGCTAGCCTGTTAGCGCAGCTAGCCTTCTCTCTGCCTCTAGCCGGCTGATTCACGAGAGTGGAGTGGACGTGAACAATATGTTACGTCTCCGCGGTTTCAAACACCACCTACCAGCCAGTTCCCGCTTTGCCGATGGTTTTTAGATTAGCTGCACGGAACATGAAAGCCACCAAGTCCCCGCTATCCTTAGCCAGAAACAACGGACAAACACTGACACGCCACTGAAACCATTCTGGCACAAAAGCTAACGATCAGCTAACTGGATCAATATGCGACAAGAGGAGGACACCGTGAAAGCAGCAGCAAGGTACTGTGTTGCCTTTGAGTGCTGCAGAAAATTGTACTACTATTGCGATGGGAGAAAGAGATCGTCAGAACATAATAATATTAAGGAGCATTATAATTATTCTATTTAAATACGCCACAACTGGATAAAATATATGTATGTATGTGGTTGATAACAGCATGTCGTATCTATAAATATTTGCGTACCATTAACTGTCATGTATGTACACAATAACTAAAAAAAAAGCTGCTGTTGCAATAATGTACGTGAAGGCAACATCAAGCGCTTGACTTCCACGTGTATTTACCTGTATTGAACACTAGAGGGCGGTGTAGTATAAAACTGGATCCTATGTTTGAACTCTGTTGGGCTATGAAATACAAACCGATCAGCCATCAGCCAACAAACATTAAAACTGGTGACATTTGAAATGAATACATTTCATCTCTTTAAAATTAAATGTGCTGCTGGGAATCCTTGGCATTTGTGTGAATGTCACTTTGACACATAACACCCACCAAACAGTGTTTTAGATTAAGGAACCCCCCCCCCCCATCCCCACCCTTCAGACTAACAAAGGTCATCAGTTCAAACACACTGTGTATAATAGTCTAATATTAATTACAGTAATCACTGGAAGAGTCTCTGAGTACTTGGGAGTCTTGGATTTCACCCAATGCAACAGGTGGTCTTGTCTCAACGTGATGCAACAACACTATACTGTCAACAAAGGACCAACACCCACAACAGGTGGCACAGTCTGAACTAATGAGACATTTACATATTAAAAGACACTGTCGGGCATGTCTTATTAGGTAGATCTCTGTGCCAGTGCAGCTTATTGTGTCATTCTTGTGTGATCATGTCTAAAGGGAAGATGCCCAGTTCCACTAAAATGCAATCTTAGCAGGTGTCCCCCTCATCAAATGCCTAAGAAATCAGAGGGTCTGGTACATGATGACCACTCCAGACCCAGCTCAGGTTTCCAACCAGAGGGCCTGGGTAAATTTAGTAAGACGCTGTTCACTTGCACTCAACAGTCAGACACTTGACATGCGCGGAGAGAGTAATGATACAAGTTCTTGAGCAGACCAGACTCATATCTATCGAGAGGTGGCAAAGACCAAACATCTGCCGCTGGGATTAAACACACTATGGAATCATGATATCAGCAGAAGATGGAGACGAGTTAGATGAGGCTGCTCAGAGCTATGCCACCACCTGGAGCTGGGTAAAGCGATTTAAGAAAAAAGAAAATTATTTGCATGTGTGGAAAAAAACACAAAAGCATGAGTAACGCTTAAAGCAAGTTATACCCGTTTGTGTGTTTCAGCATTTGTGCAATGTGAACATGAATAAAGTAGTCACGACAACCTTTCAAAGTCATGCAGTAGGTTCTCTGAGGAGAAGCAGGGAGAGCGGGCTTGTATTTTTCCATAATCCACCAGTGTAAGACTAGACGTTACCACTGAAACTGAAGATGACGGGCTCAGACTCATTAGGTCAAGTAAAAGTTACGAGATACCCTACAGCAGTTGTTATCAACTATATTCACAAATGCATCCACAACACCGAAAGACAGAAGATGTTTTCCTTTTTGTTTTTCTGTATTCGTTTGACATCTTACAGTTAACTTAAATTACTTTTTAAAAACAATCTGCAACCAAAAGCTCATCCTTTTTCCTTTTAGCCTCTGAGTCAGAGTTTAGTCTTTTCAGCCTCTGTCTCATGATCCTCAGGCCAGAATAGCCTCAGCCAATCAGAAACCTATATTATTTTAACAACTGACTCAATCAAAATGTTGGTTAACAAGAATTAGTAGTACCTGAGGCAAACTGTGTTGAGTAAGTCCGGTTTATGGTGGAGTCATTCTTAAAAAATGACTGTCATGCACCTTTCGCTGCATTTTTTGCATGTATTGAAGTGCATGACCAGATCCATGACAGGACAAGCAAACATTTTACCTGTAAATCAGTAATTCATTTAAATGTTAAATGTTAAATGTAGCACGTTGTCTGCAGAATGGACAGTGTGCTATTACACCCTTACATTGTAAGTACAGTATGTGACCACTGCTTAGGAAGGCAGTGAACTGACATCTCACAAGTCACCACTTCCTCTTGGCCTCACAGAGTGTGAGAATCCAAAAGCAAAAATGATTTCCCCTTAGCAGGGCTGTCCTAAAAGAACAAGAACAGCTTACATGTTCACCAGTTGAGGTCTATTACAACAGTGGAAATGCACCAAGTAGAACATTTGAAGCTGATGTTCTTCTTCAGCCGAGTAGGCAAGTGAGACTGTCACATGTCAGCAAGTTTCTTGTAGCCTGACACAGGTCACGTCTCTGACCATTCATGTTGAAAATTAAACTGATATCATGTGCTTTTTTTAAAAGTGTACAACGCTGGCTGAGTTTGCCTGGCAAAACAACGTGTTCTTAGAAACATGTCGGCAGCTGTGTGGCTCATGTATCCTCGGAGGGTCCAGTGACGCCAGCGTTTCTCACCGGCATAATGTGTGTCCCGCCTGTTTACGTAGGCACTCTGGGATAGGCTTACCGATGGTGCAGATATACATCGGTATGTGTAACATCAAGTGTTTAAAGGACAGGGTGTTTACTGCAGATATTCAAAATAGTTTATGTAAAAAAAACAAAGTGAAAGTGTTTTGGCGTTCAGTGTAACTTGCAAGCATAACATGTTTTACACTGATGAGTTGTTTTGATCCCTTTTTAGGTACATCTGCTTAAAAGGCTTGTTGCTTAAATGTGATCACGTGGCAGCAACACAATCCATTTAGGCATGTAAACATGGTGAGGATCACCCACCAAAGTTCAAACTGAGCATCTGATTTAAGTGCCAGACACGCTGGTCTGAGCGTTTCAGAAACTGATGATTGAGTGGGATTTTTCCATATAACCATTAGTAGGGTTTACAGAGAATGGTCTGGAAGTGAACAAACATTAATTGAGGCCCGTTCTCTGGGTGAAAGTCTCCTATTGATGCCTCAGGTCTGAGGAGAATGGCCAGGTTGCTTTGAGCTGATAGGAAGGCAACTATAACACAAAACCTTGATGGAGATGGGCTACAGCAGCAGAAGGCCACACCAGGTGCTAGTTCTGCAGCTAAGAACAGGAAACTGAACTGTGTTTAAACACTACAGCTATTGTTCCTATGTCTAATACTTTAGGACTACAGTGTACCCATCTACTGATGGCTGCTTCCAGCAGGATAATGTAACATTGCTCAAAGCTCAGATGATCTCAAACTGGTTTCTTCAACATGACAATGAGTTCACTGTACTCAAATAGTCTCCATAGCCACCAGATCTCAATCCAACAGAGCACCTTTTGGATGTAGTGGAACGGGAGGTTCACGTCTTGGATTTGCAGCAGCTGTGTGGTGCAAAATGTTTCCAGCAAGTTTTTGAATCTGTACCATGAAGAATTAAGGCACCTCTGAAGGCAAAACGAGGTGCTAACAATGAATAAAGTGGCCAGTAAGTAAAAATGACCATAGAGTGTAATAAAGTAACTTAAATTCTGCAAAAGCGAGATTAAAAGCATCCTGGCCAAAAATATTTGCATTGCTTCCATTTGAAATTTGCATTGAGGGAAAAAATGACTAAGAGCGCCTCATATTTCCTGACACCAACCGTCAGAATTTGAAAAAGGATGGTTGCGAAAGTGCAAACCTAAAACAATAAACGCTCATTTTAAGTTGTGATGGAAAACTACTATGAAGACACACACACTCTTCCCCTTTCTGCCTCACAGTCTGGAAAAACAATTAGATCGTGTTCACTCAGAGAAACATTTTCCCAGACACACAGGCTGAGCTTGCTCTGGTTGCAGAAGAGCTGCACGTGAGGCTTTTGTAGCGTGTAGCCCCGTCCGGTATTTGTCCTGGAGCATGAGGGGAGAAGGAGTCTGCTGTCAGGATTTTGGGCTCTGAGGCACAGAGATACAGACAGAGTGGTTTTGGCAGTAATGTAATTGTACCATTAATGAGAGTAGAGCCTTTTTCTTTATTAGAAATGAAATTGGTGCATTTACATCATGACTTCGTTTCCTTCTCGAGTATGTTAGTCTTTGCAAACTCAGCGTTTGCATGTTTCTACATTAAATACCCATTTTTGCTTACGTTTAGTAACCTAATCTCACTAACCACGAGCCGACCACATCCTCTTCGCACAGTGTCGCTGGAGGGTCTCGCGCTGTAAGCAAACATGGCATGTGCTACGAGGCAGAGCTGTGATTGGCTAGAAAGATCACCTCACAGCATCAGACCTGGCTGACAGACTGGTGACTTTAAACGCTTACGAAGCTTCCACTGCTTCCCGCTGTCAAAGACTTAAGTAAAGTGAGATGTCTTGCTGTAGATTTATTTTTTTTGTTATTTATCAGGGTTACAAGTTTAATGCGACTGGATGTAAACGGTCACGAAAGAGCATAAAGTCACTCTGTAGGCACAGAAGAGCTCGGACAAAGTAAAAAAAAAGAGGGTAATTTTGTTGCCACTGTGGCAACTGAAGCGATTTTTTTCTTCTTCTTGGCAACTCAACAGCTCGACGCTGATTGGCCAACTAACGGGCCGGGGTTTTTTTTGCAAGTGACGTCACCCAGTGACAGGACTCCTGAGTGAGAGGAACAGACTCGTTTAGAGAGGGAGAGTCAACGCTTTAACTTAAACGGTAGCGTTTTTGCTCCATGCTCCCAGGAGCTGCATCCGGGCATCAGACATCACCTGTATCGAGGAACAGGAGGTCTTTTAAAATGTTTCGTTGTTTTGTTATTCCCGGTTGATGAAACGCTCGTCTCCCGTGTGTTGGTTAAAAGGCAGCCCCTCAGCTCGAACAGGTATGTTTTGGATTGTTTATGTATATTTGACTCCACCTGCCTCTGAGATGAAACCGATGATAAACTGGCTTTATTTACTCTGTAGATGTCTGTTATAACCACGCTGGCCACTTGTGTGTCTTTTATCTGTCTTTACGCTCATTAAGCTTTTTTCATTCATCACAAAAAATTCCCGTTTGCCCTGTCAGGAGGTATATGAGTCAGCTGTTTACCATATCGATTAGACCTTATTACACTTTTGGGTGTTTAAACATGCGTTATGGAAGCTGATTTATCACATCACGTGTTTTTTATTTAAAAAATTAAATAAAGGAATTTCCTTACATGTAGAAGGTTTTATTTTCTTACATAATCAGGAATAGATTGCATCTTGTACTGTGTGTTGCTGTGTATTGATGTGGGACTGAACACATTATCTGCTAAGCTGTTCAGCCAGACTCTTCCAAATGAACATACCACAGCTAAACACAAGTGGATGGATGGATGGATCCTTTATTGATCCCACTGGGGAAATTATTTGGTCACAGAGCAGGATGTGCCACAGGCATATACTGTGAGCCTTATACTATGAAAAAATTTGCACACAACGGTGATTAAAAAAAAAAACCCCAAACAAATATAATATAATAAGTTGAATAGTAAACAGTAATCGTACCAGAGAGTAGTGCTAATTACATTAATGAATAGCATCCACACTATAATTCTAAAAATAAATAAATTAATTAATTAATTAATACAAAGAGTGGATCTATTACTTTCTTCCATGTTTCCTGTCATATATACACTGTTCCAGTGGTGGATGGAGGCTTTATAAAGTCTCAGTTTAAGATAAATAAGGATTCTTTTCAACTGTGAATAATACTAAGCTATTCTAAAGGATACAAATGTGGCACTGAAAAAGTGCATAAAAGGTCTTCTTTAGATGGAGGAGCTCTTTTTCTGAAACCCAGCCCGAGTATTTTGCTAGTGTTCAGAGACACTGAGATGAAACAGAAAGAGGAACAAACACAAGACATCTATTTTTAGATTAGGCTGCACTGTACTGTGTAACAGTATTTTGCGCTAAAAGTCCTCTGCTTGAAAGTCAACAGTGTCGTAACACAACGCCCCGGTGGAAAATTCGGTTAATAATTTAATACAGCAAAGGTAATTTAGAAGAGATCTTTTATAAGATTTAACAGTCGGTGTCTCTGTTCTTCAGACAGGGCCTCGTCTCTTGTTCGCATGTCCTCAGGGGATAGGATATGTTGGCATTTTTCCAACATATTTAAGCCCATCTTTCCCTGGATCACCACCTCCAGCACTCTCATCCTGTCTGTTACAAGAAGCTATGCAAATCATAATAGTAGTCAGTCTTTACCCTCTGTAGCCTGCTTACGGCCAAATATAAGATGCTAAATATGTTCCAATTTTCACCAGCGCGGGGCTAGAAATGGAAGCTGAACTATTTATAAAATGTTTCTATTTACATTTGTTTTTTAAGGGGGACTCTAAATCCTGTTGGTGTTGAAAGGTTGTTTGACTCAAATGGGCTTAAAAAATACATAAGGGGGTGGATGGGGGTTTTATGCATTGAGTTCATGCTATATGTACTGTATTACATTATATACACATGACTTGACAGTCTGGTCTAACTTAGTCTGTCCTTTGACATTTGATGTCTGAATGGAAAACAGTTGTAAGGCTTTACAGACTTACAGTATGAGGCCCGAGGGGATGTAAGATGTAAGAGAGACAGTAAGGTCAAAAGTGGTAACAGTTTCTTTGTACAGTTTGTAATTACAGATCAGGAAACAGCTTCAACTCCTTCTTTATCTCTTATCCATACAGAAAGCTTATTTTACCTCAGAGTGTTGGAATAGCTCGCTCTTTTTCCAGCTGGGTGACAGTTATGTCACCAGTGCTTTGATTCACGGGCTGAAGATTGCTACGGAAGATGCCTACTCATAAGCGCGTGCACTTTTGAAAGTTGACCGAGTTCAGGAAGAGGTGACTTACGCAAGTTATTTTAATCCGTTCACTTCCCCCAGACCCGTCAAACCATGAATTTCGTGGGCCAGTTGGCGGGCCAGGTGTTTGTCCAGGTCAAAGAGCTGTACCGAGGCCTCAATCCCGCCACCCTCTCTGGCTGCATCGACGTCATTGTTGTGAGACAGCCCGATGGCTCCCTGCAGTGCTCGCCATTCCACGTGCGCTTTGGCAAGCTGGGGGTCCTACGGTCCCGGGAGAAAGTGGTGAGAAGATAAAAAAACAACAACAACAAGGGCATCTTTAGAGGAAAAGTTTAATGTTCTAGTTTGTTCAGCTCTCACCCTTTTGCTTTCAGGTGGACATGGAAATCAACGGAGAACCAGTAGATCTCCACATGAAGCTCGGGGAGAACGGCGAGGCGTTTTTTGTGCAAGAAACAGAAAATGATCAGGTAACGATTGGGAGCGTTTCCGCGAAGCATAATGCTGTCTGCATGTAATTATATTTTGATTAACTAATTTGGCCAAATCATCTCAACTCATGTGGAACTGCTTAAATGAACAGGTGAGAAAATGACACAGCAGTGAAGAACTTTATATAAAAAACCCTAAAAGACTGTTATATTTGTAGCTATATAAAAGGCAGTACATTTCGATTGTGTCTCAAGAGTTGGGTGTTCGCCTTGTAATCGGAAGGTTGCTGGTTCGAGCCCCGGCTTGGACAGTCTCGGTCGTTGTGTCCTTGGGCAAGACACCGTTGCCTACTGGTGGTGGTCAGAGGGCCCGGTGGCACCAGTGTCCGGCAGCCTCGCCTCTGTCAGTGTGCCCCAGGGTGGCTGTGGCTACAATGTAGCTTGCCATCACCAGTGTGTGAATGTGTGTGTGGATGGTCCTTAGGGACTAGTAAAAGTGCTATACAAATACAGGCCATTTACCATTTCCACCTTTATGTGGCCTTTTTGATTCAAATAAAACCAAGATTCAAATGATAACACTTTATTTACACCCTGCGCTCACACACTCCCCATTTGCAACTGAAAAGTGTTATCCAAACTTTCTTTTTCCTACTCGGAGTGATAGTAGTTTGAACAAAGTCGCACTGTGTACAGAGTTGGCACAGCACCCAGGAATTTCCCCCCTTTCCTTTTTTTAAAAACAGACTGCCTTTGTTTATCAGCGAGCAAGAGCTGAGAACGCAGAATTTACTCACCCAGGCTTTATGACCTGGAAGTATGTCAAACACTGGGAGCATGAGGATAAATCGGAAACTGGATAAATATGCTTCTGGAAATTTAAATGTTTGCGGTATTGCAGTATTTGTGAAACTGGCTTAAGTATTAGAGAAATGCTCAGAGCTTGGCGAGTTAAAGATATGTCAGAATTCCTCCAGTCTGACCTACATTTCTACTTTTTATGTTTACGAAACTTCATGGAAAGCCGTTTTTCCTCAGTTTTTTGGAAAGTCTGTGTTTAAGTTCAGTTGCAGCCTTAAAGAGCCTGGTTGCATGTACTCTCATCTTCTTTCTCTTTCTCTCTCTTTTTGGCTTTATATGCACATGAGGATGCATGCAGAAAAAGACAAAAACAAGCTCTAAAGTACTGAAGCTTGGGGCTGGCTGTAACGAGGGAAGTGTCTGATTTATTTTCCCCTGGGTGGTGTCAGATTCTCAGACTTGAACGAGCAACTAGGGGAGGAGCGTTGTTTCTCTGAACCCATTTTCTTGGCTCGGGGAAGCAAAACGTGAGGCTTTGTTGTCAGACCACAAATCATGGTGTTATACGTCAGTTTGTCTTCGCTTTCTGTTTTTCCCCTAAGTCTGCACACACATATTTATGTTCCCCTGGATGGACAGCAGGAAACCTCCTGGAAAACTCTTTTCTTTTCCTAGAAGGAGGGATCATAAAAGTGACTCTAAACTTCACAGAACTTAGAAACAGAGTCTGCTTCTGCTTTGGCAAACCCTTTCCTCTGTGGAGGTTTTTGCAGTTTGGCAGTTAATTGCAAACCTATGTCTCAGACCAAAGTCATGCGATACACTAACTATGGAGTGGGGGATTTATTGCCATGATTATAATCTACTTTTATGCAGAGTGGTGTCATCTTTTGTTTCTCAGTGGTTGACATAGCTTCATGTCAAAGCAGGAGATAATAGCTGCACTATCACATGTTGTTCTGCATTACAAAAACCAAAGTGTGAACAGTGGGGGAGTCAGCAACACTCCTACAGCACCCAATTTCAGTGCAGACCTAAAGCTTTGACAGTAAATCCAAACAGATTTCCTCATGTGGGTAGTTTTTGGTGTAACATTCAGGCTCTCTGTCTGTTCGGCATTGTTTCACTCCTGTTTCCTGTCTTAACAGGAAGTGGTTCCCTCCTACCTGGCCACCTCTCCTATCCTATCGGATGGACCCGTTTTGATGGGGAAGATCTCCGGGACACCCATACAGAATCTGTGCTCCGGGGCAAGCAATGGCGAGAACAGTAACGTGATGATGAAGAAAAGGAGGAAGAGGAGGAGGAAGGCTCGGGCGGACAGCCTGAGGAGAGAGGAAAGTGGAGACTACTCTGCGGACGAAGATATGTTCCCCATAGACATCAGCTCGGATGAAGTGGCAGAAATGGAGAGCAACAGGTAAGAGGTGGGCGTGAGGAGTGAAGGGAAATGGTGAAGGACTAATCAAATACCCATGCAGAGGATGAGGATGATCACCTGACAGTGTAAGAGAGAGTAAAGTAAACCCTGACTAACTCGTCTTTGTGATTATACTGCAGGTCTCGGGATGTGTCTAGAGAGGAGAACACGGTTGGTTCGACCAACAGTTCTTTCAAACAGGCTGGCATGTACACTCGTTCAGATGGGGAGTGGAGTCCCATTCAGAGGTGCTCAACTCACACAAAATTCTTTCACACCTACAGTAAATACTATAAATCCATGAAATAAATGTGGAAATGCTATAATCTCTTTCTCCTTTAGTCCTGGAAACTCTCGCCCCACATCTCCCAAGAGTGATTCTGAGCTAATTGGCAAACCGTCAAACACAGACAATCAGAATCCAGAAATGCACTGGGCGTGGGGAGAGCTGCCTCAGGCCGCCATGGTAGGAAAGCCTTAATCCTGATACCCTAATCTGCAGTGTTGTTATTTCTTCAGCTCATATCATCATCTTCTTCTCCACTCTTGTAGCCATCTGTCCTTTCACTGAAGTCCAGCCCTCCACCAGTTTGCCCCGTATCTATCCCGGTGTCTGAAAGCACGCACTTCCGTGTGATTACGCCTGAGGTGTCTTCGGAACAGTGCGGACCCTGCTCGGAAATACAAGCACTGCGACTGCTGATGCCGACAGAGACGATGCACACAGAGGAAATGGTCGTCGCAGATGGGCCGGATGCAGAATCCATTGGGATGGAGTCTCAAACGGTAACTTCGGAGATGCAAGTTACAACAGTGGGAGGCGTGGCAGCTCGTATGGTGGCCGACATGGAGGACACTTCACCTCGTCCACAAGGCAAAGCGGACTCTCCGTCAAAGAAAAAAGGTAAACCTTAAAAAGGTTTCCCCACGGATCATTTAATGCACTGTGTTACGTCGAGAAGCTGCAGCTTCAAACTGCAAATTGCTCAAACTCAATCAGTTGCTCTAAGATAAGATGCAATATAAGATGGATTTACAGCCAAAAATGTGTCTGAATTGCTGCATATGATTGCAAAGATAAACAGGGGCCAGGTGAACGGATCTGGTACTACAGGGAAGCAGCCTCATAATAATCCATCCATAGACCCTCTCAGATCAAGATCAAGCTGGCAAATGATTTGCTTCTGGATAAATCAATCAGGGGGGAAAAATCTAAGAGGCTGAAAATGAATTTGCTCTTTTGCAGATAAAAGGAGTCGCCATCTTGGTTCTGATGGGATTTATCTGGACGACATCACTGAGCTTGAACCGGAAGTGGCAGCCCTTTATTTTCCTAAGAGGTATTTGGACATCACACACGCTTTCATGTTAAGAAAAGTTTCATACAGTTGTATTTCTGAACTGTGCAGAATGATCAGCGAGATTTTTATCAAAAGTATCTCCTTTTTTTCTTTTTTGCAGTGACACCGGTGCAACAGTGAGGAGCATCTCAGATCTGGGCCTCCACAGCACCAGTCAGTCTCCTCAGTCTGTAAGCTCTGGAGGAGACAGTGGAGTAGACAGTTACTGCGATCCCATGTCTGACCTGCCATCGATTGCCATCTCTTTGTGTGGGGGGCTCAATGACAACAGGGAGATCACGAAAGGTAAACGATCACGTGACATGACACGACTCCAAGATGCACTTTAGACTCTGTGTTGTAAGCATGGGGAATAAGTAACGTGTGGGGGTTTTTTCTTCTCCCTTCCTTTTACAGAGCAATTTTATAAGAAGACCGTGTCCTATCAGCAGTTCACAGAGAACCCCTCTATCATCGACGACCCCAACTTAGTGGTGAAAATTGGCTCAAAGTAAGACATTCGAGTGTACTGAATGGATTCATGTGTCACACATTGCGGGCAAAAACAGCAGCGTTAGCACAACTCTTTGGCCTAATGAGCCAAAATTGGCTGAAAAACATGTGTTTTGCTGCATTTAGGGAAGGGCTAAAAATACATTTTGTTATCTCCCACAGGTACTATAATTGGAACACTGCAGCTCCGCTTGTGCTGGCTATGCAAGCCTTTCAGAAGCCTCTGCCAAAGGTAAGAGTTGATTGCAGACGCTGCACAGATATTTAGGACTCAGTAAGTTGGGTTGGATTACATGAGAAGTATTCCCCCTTCTGACTGAACCCGGTACTGCACCACTTTACATAACATAAGGCCTAATGTGGAGTCTGTGGACCTCAAACCTCACTGTGTTCAGTTTTTGCATCTGCAGACAAAATTTACGTTGTGTAACAAACGTCTTCCAAACTTTTGCTCTCAAGCTAAATGTTGTTTTCCCCTTTGTTCTCTCCTCGTCTTATTTTATTACTCCCTCCATCCATCCGTTAGTCCTCCTGCCCTAATTACATTCACTCAACCTTACAGTTCCTCCTCTGCTGTCTGACCAGTGTTCTGGGCTACAGCTCTGTATGTTTATTTTTTTGTTTTAAACACCCCATTCTCCCTTTAATATCTCTACACTAGCTTTCACTTTTATTCTGTTGGTGTATTTTCCCCCGCTTTGGCCTCAGGCACATTCTTGGTTTTGCCTCAGTGTTTGTTGATTTACGGTATAGTTTGCTTTATTTTTTAAGTGTGTCTTTATGGCTTTGTGTTGTGGTTGTTTGGTGCATGTGTGCATCCATGTGTGTGTGTGTGTGTGTGTGTGGTCTGCTTCAGGCTGCAGTGGAGAACATTATGAAGGAGAAGATGCCCAAGAAAGGAGGAAGGTGGTGGTTCTCCTGGAGAAGCAGAAACAGCAGTGCCAAATCGGTAATTTAAAGCGGCAGCTATGTTAATTGTGAGCAAGTTATGCGCCAGATAAACACCAATCTGGCACTGTTTTTATTACCTATAGGATTCAGCCTCTGAGCGTGGGGCCTGTTGCACTGCTGAGCAGGTTGGGAATATGACAAGCAGGTAAGAGAGCATTCCTGGCTCAAAATTGTCCTTGCTCACTTACTGAAGTTTATATTGAAGCATACAAATGCCCTGTTCACCTCTCTGATGACAGACTGAAAGAAGAGTCATCCTCTAGTGATGAGGACCACCGGGAAGCCAAGCAGAACTCTTCCCCCATACAGACAGAGCCGGTACTCACAACGGGAGGCGTGTCTTATAAGAAAACTCTCCGACTCACATCAGAGCAGCTGGTGAGCACACAAGTTAAAGCACACGTTTGGATATGATAGAGAGATAGCTCAAACATTAAAAAAGAAGCATAAAAGAATGAGTTACCAGCTTGAGCAAGATGGCAGCAGTAAAGATCCACCTGACAAGCCCAAATGGTGCAGCTATAACAAAATTCTCTTCCTTTCTGAGTGGTTTTTCATGGATTTTCACCCCCTTCCCCAAATTTCCCAGCTGTCTCTTCAGTTGCAAGACGGGCCTAACGATGTCGTGTTCAGCGTCACCACTCAGTACCAGGGAACCTGTCGCTGTCAAGGCACCATCTACCTCTGGAACTGGGATGACAAGATAATTATCTCCGACATAGATGGAACCATTACCAGGTGCGTGTGTCTTGTTTTTGTTTTTATTTGTTTTTTTTAATGCATAATGAAGTTTAGTTTGGACGGCAAATCTACTAGAAGTGGCTCCAGTATTAGGTTCATCTGCATGCTGTACAACTCTGTGCACAGCAGGGTTCAGTGTGATGAATAAACTCTTCACGGCTGTTCCATCTGTAACATTTATTCACTGCTGATTATGAGGCAATTTGTCATTCTGATCAGAAGATTAAATATGCA